TGCGAGACCTAGCAGAGCTGAGCGGCGCTCTCGCGAGACGTAGGCCAGCTGTGCCACGCTCTCGGGAGACCTAGGACAGCTGAGCCACGCTCTCGCGAGAACTAGGCCAGCTGTGCCGCGCTCTCGGGAGACCTAGCACAGCTGTGGCGCGCTCCTGCGGGCATCTCGGAGTCTGGCTGCGGGGTGTTGTCCACCTGAAGCATGACCCCCGCGCCCACCACACACAAACTGTGCCCCACAGGCATTGAAGGCCCTAGTGGCCTTTTCCCACCCAAGACGGCCAAGTGCGGGACGGAGAAGAGCAGCTCTGGGCAGGGCTTGCATCCGCTGCAGCCTCAGGTCCGTTTTATTCTGGACACAAACCTGGCCCCTGCGAACTGTCCACCAGGCCGGCGGCCGGCGATGGGCCAACAGCGACCGCGGGGCAGCCGGTGCTTTGTCGGTGACCGGGAAGCGGAGTGCAGGCAGCTAGGCTACCCCCCCCTTCCGGGCAAGCGTGGTGTTTGCTTCCCCAACATTAGTTAGGCACCGGCCTGCCGGCCCCCAGTGAGGCGCTTGCCACTCCCCACGGGACACCCCCGGAGCCGGCGCTGGACCTGCGCGCCCCCTCCATGCGCGCCCCCGGCCGCCTCGTGCCTGTAAATAACGAGGCCCCGCAGCCCGTGTCACATTCTGCTGATAAGAGCGATGGATAAAGTTACCCCGTATTTATAAAAATGTGAGTCCCTCAGCAATTATGGTGGGAGGGTCGGTTTTTGAAGCAATTTCACTGCCACTGCTTACATGATTTAATTGCTATTTATTCCAGAAACTAAAAAAAGCTCCTCGCGGCTACACCGGTGCAGTGTTTTCCCTCCGCGTTCGCCAGCTTACCGTCGCCTGCTCAGAAATAACAAATAACGCGTCCCCTCGTATCAAATCCTTCGCCTTCCCCAGCGCCCCAGTTACCCGCACCTCCCACTTGCGGATTGATTATAAAACGTTTTTAATGGGATGAAACCAGGCGTTTCTGCCTCTTCTGGCCCAGGAGAGCCCACACGTGGAGCCCCCGGGCGGACAGAGGGGGTGTGAGTGGCCTTGGCTCCCTGGAACTGTCCCGTTGATAGAGGAGCCAGGGCCTTGTTTTCATGTGACAGGGCAATTCCGAGTGCTTTAGAGACCGCTCAAGGCAAACAGATTAAATTCAGAAAGCACGGAGTCCGCCACTGTGACACGGACACACAAACATGACAGCTCCGTGACTGCTGGGAGATTAGCCCTAGAAGCAGAGATGAGCACCTTCATTCTCTACGAGCAGGTTTCTAACACCAATGGGCTTGCACAGCCCGGGTTCGGCCTCGGGACCCGGGCCATGCGTCCTGTTGAAAAAACAGGTCCCGGCTGTGCTGGCGCCCTCAGAGCAGCGCAGCTGGCGGCCCAGCCGGGCGGTGCTGCCGCAGGAGCGGGCTTCTCAGGCGATGGCGTCCCCTGCGGCCGGGACCCTCGGGGTGTCGGAGATGATGCCACCAGGAACGGCTGCCATGTCCAACCTCCGAGACACCACACTTGTGGCTCAGTCAAGGGCTCCCCACGCGGTGCTCACATGGTCTGTGGGTTTTACAGGCCAGCGCCCTTCCAGTCTGTGTCTAACTAGAGCCCGTTCAGGCATGAACAAGCACGGCGCCTGCGACAACCTGAAGCCCCACATCCGGCTTCAGTGTGACTACGGTTTGGGCAATCTGCTCTGTCCGACGGGTCGTCGCCTTATATTTGTATTCGATCTAATTTCTCTCCTTGTCTTAAGGAGAAATTTAAAATGCAGTGGCATAGCTAGAAAGCGTTTCCCTCAATGTATTAGATAAAACCATCAAATACGGAAAAACTTGGACTGTATTCTGATTTAAATTCAGAATTACACATCCACCCTAGTTCACATCGGGTCGCTCGGGGAAGTGCCTCCTTCCCCATGCCCAGCACCCTGAGCGAGCCCGGCAGCAGACACAATCGGCAGGTGGCATTGTCCCATTTTGCAGCTGAGGAAACTGAGGCTCACAGACACCTCGCACCTTCTGGCAGCGGCAAGCGGAGGCAGCGGGACTGGAACCCTGGCCTGCCACGTGAGGCTGGTTCTCTGGGAGGGGCAAGGCGACCCTCGGATGCCTAGCGATGTGGCATCCAGGTCCTCTTGGGGGACTTCCTGCCGCTGCCTAGAGAAATCTGACCCTAGGGGATTCCTGTCCACTCACGGAGGCTGCGATTCCCAGGCCTCCATGGCCACACGGTCCCTGCGTGGGGAGGCTGCCTGTGACCCTGCCCACTGGGACCAGAGACCCAGCACTAACTGTGAGGTGGAACGTCGTTTCCTGGGGAGAAATCAGCTGTCGGGGTGTAAGAAAGGCCACAGCCCCTTTGGGCTCCACTGATGGAGACCTGCTTGGTGGGGCGCCTCCTACATCCTGGACCCCACTAGGGATCCCTGACGCCTACCCACAGCCTGACTGCTGTGCGCACTGCTGCGCGCTAATTCCTCCCATTAGTGTTAAACACACTTGACAAGAGAGAGAAGATATCCTAAGAGAAGTTAAAGCCAAAGTTTAAAACACACAGTCCAGCCCCCAGGCCTCCGTCCCCCCGCGTGGTGTGGCCGGTCACCTGGACAGTCAGCGCTGGGGAGGAGGGCAGGGTGCATGGGCCCTGGCACAAGAGTCAGCGCTGCTTCCAGAGGAGGCCTGGGAGGGGTGGGGTGAGCATGTGACTGTCCCCTGGCCGCAGACACCAGCAGATGGTCAATGTCAGGGTGCCATCCCTGCCAGCGTGCCCTGTGGGGACCGTGTGCCCTGTGGGGACCATGTGCCCTGTGGGGATCGTGTGCTCTGTGGGGACTGTGTGCCCCGTGAGTGTGTGTGTGTGCCCTGTGGGGACTGCGTGCAGTGGTGTGCATGGCGGGGGGTGTGCATTGTAGCCACACCCACACGAGCCCGGCCCCTTTGGGATGGGGCTTGAACCACAGGTCTATGACTGACAAGACTGCTCTGAGTGACCGTTCCGTCACGTGGGAGAAGCAGAGAGTGGGCGGCACTGGCACAGGGTAGACACTGGACAGACGCCAGCCTGCCTCCTTCACGCTCCTGCTGGCATGCTCTCCACCCATCTGAGACGATGAGGCACTTGCCCAAGGTCACACAAGGTCACTCATTCCACAAATGTGTGGCCCCTGGTGCCAGCTCTGGGTCTGCCTGGGAAGACAGAGCGGAGGCTGGAGGGGGAGGTGACTGGGGCATGACAACTCTGATGGTTGGACCACCCCGGCTTCTGTGGGGTCACCTAGAGGGGCCCTGATGGGTCTGGGAGTGCCGGGGTGGGTTAGGGGCCCTGCAGGCTGTGTGGGGTCAGCCGGCATGTGGGGCTCCGACCCACTGGGATCCTGCTCCTCACCCACTGGAGCCCAGGTGCAGACTCAGGAGCTCTCGGGGTGGGCGCTGCAGTGCACGCAACACAGGCGTGGGCAGGACAGAGTCCCTTTCCAGGCCCGGGATCTGTACTGGGAAGATGCCTAGAGAAGAGTGGCAGCCGCTCCATTCAGTGCCCGCCAGCGTCTGCCCGCTCCTGAGCTGTGCCTGCACGCGCTGGGCTCCGCTCCGCCTCAAAGGCTGTTCCGGAAGCGCAAGTGAGGACTGATGGCCCAGGAAGCCCTCCGCTGGCTGCACGGCGTGGGGAGCGCTGAGAACACTCGCCCAGCTCGGGATTTCACTTCACTGGCGGCCCCCGAGGCCATGTGGACCCAGGGCCTGGGCCTCATTGCTACACCATGTCCCGCTCTGCAGACGTCCTAGTCCTGGGGCTCGCAGCTGCTCCCCACACTTCAATGCCACCCCGTGAGGACCAGTGGTCTGCTGAGCCCGCAGGGCCCATTCTCAGAAGACAGGTCCGCCAGGACGCCGAGCCCTGGGGTCCAGCTGGGCCCTTAGAGCCTTATGGGGATATGTGCTCAACTACACGTGAGCTGCCTCCTGGCCTGACGGGGCACTGCCCTCGGCACCCCGCAGCCCAGAAGTCGGAGTTCCAAGTCTCCCTGTCACTGCTGCCCCCTCACCACTTGGTTTGTGAGGTGCCAGCGCCTCCTCTGGAAGCCCAGCCTCAGACGCCCCTGCCTCTCGCCCCTCTGAGCTCCTGCGGCCGTGATGGGGACACGGAGCTGAGCTAATCCCTTCTGAGTGGTTCAGTGTGAGGTCCTGTCTTCACAGTCGTGCCCGCGCTTTCTCCGAGCACAAACACGCGTGTGCACCTGCCTCGCGGCAGCGCCTAGTCCAGCCGTGGGCAAACTACGGCCCGCGGGCCGGATCCAGCCCGTTTGAAATGAATAAAACTAAAAAAAAAAAAAAAAAGCCCGTACCCTTTTATGTAATGATGTTTCCTTTGAATTTATATCAGTTCACACAAACACTCCATCCATGCTTTTGTTCCGGCCCTCCGGTCCAGTTTAAGAATCCATTGTGGCCCTCGAGTCAAAAAGTTTGCCCACCCCTGGCCTAGTCTCTAACTTCCCAGGAGAAAGCGGATTGTAGGGAGTCTCGGTGAAGTGGGGTGCAGACTCCAAGGTGTCCTGTTCCAAAACGTGCGGCCAGGGAGGGCCGCCCGGC